AATACCAAGGAGAGCTATCATTAGATCATAGAGGAACAGAACTCTTTGGGTAAACACACACACACACACACACACACACACACAACAAAACCTTCTAGTTTTTAAGTTTTCATTCTAATAAAAAAACTGAACATTTAACACAATTTATATGACCTGATAACAGCTATATCACAATTTATATACTTGATTAGTTTAGCTTTTTCCTAGAAATATTACTAATACTTTTAAATTAACAATGTTCCTAATTGTATAATAGGCTTAGAAAGGTTTTTTGTAAGAGAAATACAGCATAATGGCCATATAATTTCCCAAACAAAGATCAGTACTGGTTTCTTAGACCAAATAACTGAGCATTAATAGTAATAGATGTAATTGTTGAACTATGAGAGTTATGATGTAGAAAGAAGAGTTAACCCCTCAAGATAGAATTCACCTAAACTAACAGTTTATTGAGAATCTACCCTGTGCCAAGCACTCTTCTGGCTACTGGAGATGCAGAAATAAATAAAGCATAAGGTGTCCCTGTACTCTTGGAACTGGTGTCTAGGGTGAGGATGGTGGGGTGTACTATAAACAAACATAATACAATAATGTACAATGGGGTAATATTAAGTGCTGTGTTGAAAAATTAAGCAGTACATCAGAAGAGGATAAAAGAAATTTATATACAGTAATCAGAAAATTCCAACAGAAACAAGAATGAAGGCAGAGAGGGAGCTAATGTGAAGTTCTGGGGGAGCAGCATTCCAAACAGAAGCAACAGCACATGCAAAGGGGACACTCAGCACCTAATGTGAAACAATGCCTGACATGTGTGTGATGGAAAAGCCTCCTACCTATTGAAATGGTGTGCGCATTGTATTGTTTTAGAATACCTTTTGTTGTTTCTTTTTAATGTAAATTTAAAGTAGCTTGCAAGGCATTGCATGTTATTAATAATACTAGAGGCCCGGTGTACAAAAATTTGTGCACTTGGGGGGGGGGAGGCGGGGAGTCCCTCAGCCTGGCCTGTGCACTCTCACAGTCTGGGACCCCTCAGGGGATGTCCACCTGCTGACTTAGGCCTGCTCCCCGGGGGATCAGGCATATTACCCTTTTATTATATAGGATTATTACATAGGATAGATGCCTGGTGCATGGATGCAGGTGGCTGGTTTGCCCTGAAGGAGTCCTGGATCAGGGTGGGGGTTCTGCTTGGGTGCCTGGCCAGCCTGGGTGAGGGGCTGAGGGCTGTTTTCAGGCTGGTCAAGCCCCCCAGTGGCTTGACCCCCAGTAGCTAGCCTGGGTGAGGGGCTGAGGGCCATTTTCAGGCTGGCCACACCTCCTTCAGAGTGGGGGTCCCTATTGGGGTGCCTGGCCAGCCTCGGTGAGTGGCTGAGGGCCATTTTCAGGCTGGCCATGCACCTCGACTACCCAAGCTCCCAGCCTCTCTCTTTTTTCTTTTTTCCAGCAGGTATCTGGGATTTATTTATCTTCTATATTTGAAACTTTTTAGCCTTGGGTGGAGCCCAGGGCGGGCCAGGGCAGGTGGGATGCTTGGCTTCCTCCATCGCCAGGGTTAACCCACACCTTCTTCTCACTCCAGCTCCGTGGCTGCCACCATCTTTGTGGTGGAGTGATGGAGTGATGATTAATTTGCATATTACTCTTTTATTAGATAGGATACTAGAGGCCTGGTGCATGAAAATTAATGCACTGCAGGGGGGTTCCTCAGCCCAGCCTGCTCCCCTCTCACAGTCTGGGAGCCCTCAGGGACGGGCAGTGACCTGGCAATCAGGTGATGCCCCTTCACACTTCTGCTGCTGCTATTGCTGGCAGCACAAACCTCAGCCAGCCCTGGTTACCTGAGCCTTGGGTGGCCCTGGAGCCTGGGCAGCTGCCATCCAATGCTTACTGTGGCTGGTGGACTGAGGGGACTCGGGGACTCTGGAAGCAGCCACATGGCAAGGCCCTGGCTGGGCTGAGGGAACTGGGCACAGCCATCTTTGAGGGCATGTCAATTAACATATTCCCTTCTTATAGGCTGTGGGTGCCACCATCTTAGAGGGTGGGGCGGTCAATTAGCATATTCCCTCCTTATTGGCTGTAGGCACTGCTATCTTTTGTGATGGTGTGAGGGTCAATTAGCATATTCCCTCTTTATTAGATCGGATGACACAACCTGAGACAGTCAGGATCTCAGACCTTATAATTGGGGTGAAGGGGGGTGACAAAAGTCCAATTTATTGCACTACTTCCATCTTGATCACTAATTGTTCCTTGAAAATAACTTGCATTTTAAGATAATTATATTGCCAATAAATATTTTCAACAATCTCAGGGAATAATCAGGAAAACAATAGCTGCCAGGGAGGATTGTAGCATTTACAGAGTTTTAACAGCTTCAGTTGATCTCAATGCTCAGAGAGGCTACATTGTTAATTAATATTTCCTATATAAGTCTGCACATACTTATTTCCCATAAACATTTAAGAAGTCTGTTTAATTACATGGGACCTCTTCCCATTGAATAATCATATCAAATATTTGATTTATTGATCTTTATAATTCATTATTTAACTTTATAATTCATTTTTGACTGCACTAGTTTCAATCCTCAATAATTTGATTCAATCATTTAAAAGATAATTAAATATTTAAATATTTTCCCTTTCCCCAGTATTCTTTTTTTCCTAGAACTAGTATTCCTGTGATTACATTTACTTTAAAGTGCTTTTCTCCAGGAAGCAATTCTACTGTTTTCAAGAAACTCTAAATCCCATTGAGTATCTCTTTAATGGAACTTCTCTTTTCCTCTTGTTTTCTTTTTCTGAAGTTTTTGGTTAAAGGCAAACAAAATTCAGAAAATTTAAAAAAAATCTAAAAATACCTAAATTATCTCTTTTCCCCCCTAGTAAATGAGTTTTATATTCAACAGCATGATGAATTTTTCAATATCCTACATTACTTATAAGCCATGCCCATTACCACATATATGCCATTACCTTATCATTATTTTTCCTGTCCCCATTAGTAATTGGAGAAACCATTATTGTTATGTTCTAAAATGTGGAGTTTAGCTATTTATGTGTCAGTTATTATACTGAAAATTCTAATAACATTTGGCAAAGTTTCCCAAACTTCAACCTTTCACATGTCAACTTTAAATACTATAATATTATATTACCAATTATTTACTTTTACATTTCTCAATAAAACTGGAAAACATAATATATCCAGAGACATTGAAGCATGCAACAGATTGATAAATTTTAGAGGGAAGGCAGGGTGGTGGAAAGAGTTTAAACAAAGAATTTATATGCATATATTCATAACCCATGGGTCGACAATAGTTCAATGAAAGCCTGGGGAGAGGGTGAAAAGAGGGTGGAGGGGATTAATGGGGGGAAAAGGAAATAAGTAATACTTTCAACAATAAGAAAAATTTAAAAAAAATAAACTGCATTTTAACTTATAAGTATTTGAAGAGAACATCTCATTTTACTACCATACGTGGTAAATTAGAATAGCTTGCAATAAATAGACTATAATCATAAAATAAAAATACCATGAAAAACAGTATTATTAACTTTTAGGTAGAAGCTGTTGCCTGGTAAATATATTTGTCTAGTGTCTATCTTTTCTCTGTTCAAGTAGAAGATTGAATGTGTTAAGGTGTTAAAAAACAATCACCTCCAAATGAAGAGTTTATCAGCAGAAATGACAGATCAGAAGAAATGTTAGATATTGTAAACAACATTATACTCTCCCGCTGTAAATCAATGTTCTTTAAGTGCAAAGTAGCCACAATCCTCTCTGCTTTAAACCACGATACTGATTCCCCACTTAGTACATAATGGCATAGAGATTAGTGTGAAAGAGATTTACTTTATCTTCAGAAAATGTGCTTTATAAAATGGTAAATCATTGCCTATTTGGTGTATATTCACTGTTTTGCTCACAGGCTTTTCTGACACAAAATCAATTTTTATTAATTTTCTTAGTAAAGTGAAGAAACTTAGCTAACTGAGAAAAAGCAGCGCAGCAGATAAAGTGGAATTTTATTTCAATTAATGAGGAAAAGTTTTTGCATCATCGAGTTAAATACAATTTAAGGATTTTTTTCTTAATGTTTATTGGGCACATACTATGTTCTAAGCATTGCTCCAGGTGCTGAAATGGAGGGCAAGGTAATTTTCATAATAAATTTTCAAGAGAGAAAGGTTTAATCTTCATTATTTGTGTTCATAGTTTTTTCTTTTTAAAATAAATATTTATTGTTGAAAGTATTAGATGTGTCCCTTTTTCCCATTGCCCTCTTCCCCACCTTCACCCCAAACCTTCTCCACCCACTGTCTGTGTCCGTGGGTTATGCATATACATATATGAGTTCATTGGTTAATCTCTTCCCCCTCCACTCTCCCCTATCTTCCCTCTGAGGTTTGACAGACTGTTTGATGTTTCTATGTCTCTGGGTCAATTTTTGTTCATCAGTTTATACATATATTAAGAGTTCCCACTCCATAGGAGAATGTATCTGCTGATACATCTGATAAGGGGTTAACCTTCAAAATCTACAGAGAATTCATACAACTTAACACCAGGAAGATAAACAATCCAATTAAAAAATGGCCAAAGGACCTCAATA